CGTGAGATCTGGACTAGTGGCCCGCAGGAGCCCGTGCAGGCCGACAGGAGTCACAACTGCCTGGAAACTTCCCTCCCTTCCCTGGCTCCTGGCTTCCTTCTTCCTAAGATGGCAATGCACTAAGGTGCTCTGCCACCTCAAACCCACATCTACCCAGACAGCAAAAGTGACGGCTCTGCAGACCCCAGAAGCCGGAGGCAAGCAGACCCCTCCCCGAAGGCAGAATGCTGCCACTCACGCAGAACCAAGCCAAGCCCTTCTGGCGTTCAGGCTAGTCATTCAAAAAGTACCTACTACAAAATTTAAAAGTCTTGCTTCTTAACTCGGATCCTTTTGCAGACTGCCAGGACACTGCAGCTGTCGGAGCTCACAAATCAACAGCACACACCAAGTGCTTTCTCAGGACAAAGCTCTGGCTTCCGATGGCAATGAAAATCCACCCTTCCAGATGGGCGTGGTGGTGCACACCTATAATTTCAACATTCTGGGAGGCTGAGTATCCCAAGTGCCAGCACTTAGTGAGGTAGCCATCCTAATGTCACAGCCCAATGCCTTCCTCTTGCGTGTGTGTGTGTGTGTGTGTGTGTGTGTGTACACTGGAGTAAACAAACCTACTGCCCGGCCAGTCTTTTAAAAGTAGAGCATGCACAATTGTGTTCACCACCCTGTGACTGCTCTACTATACTTGATGTCACTCTTTTAGACTATATTCTTCCTATTTAAAGAAAAGAAGCAGCACACCACGCTCACTGTTCCAAGTCCCCATGTGGAGGGAGCGACCCGAACCCCTAGATCTGGGCCAGTAGGTCTGTGACATTCACACAACGACGTCAGCCAGCTGCGTGGTTCTCAGGCAGTATCTCTGGTGTTAAGTGATACACAACCGTGCCACACTTTGGTGAAAGCCAGAGAAGAATCTAAGATAACCCTACTCGCATTGCTGGGAGCAGAGAACAAAACACATCCATGCTCCCGATCCGTTCCCAAGTCTGAAGAAATGTAGCCTGTCAGGAAGTGTCACCTTCAGAGTCCTGCAGTCCTGTCGCCTGAGGTGGGTGGCAGCCTCAGCCACATCGGTCCGCAGCACCCACTGCATCCACATGGACTGGTGGTGTGGGAAGGAGGGGAGGGGGGACAGGGGACAGGAGGACAGGAATGGTGTCTGGTCCGCTGTGATCACACAAGGGGCAGGGCTGTGATGGTGACTCCCAGGGACTCCATCAGACTTGACAGCCGCATGCCCCAGAAACAGGGCAGTGCAGACAGACAAGGGGACCAGCTGTCCTTCCTGCGCAGGGTCACCACAGCCACTTCCTTCCTCAGCCTCCACCTCCGCAGTCCCACTTGCTGATACAGCCCATGCTGCAGCAAGTGATGCAGCCCTTCCAGGCGACATCCAGCAGAGCTGAGGGCACACGGCTTTGTAGGGGACAGAACTTAGGTGTAAGGGTCCAATGGCGCTGGGTAGAGCACACAGGTGTTTGCGGGGGGGCAGGAGTGGGGATGCTTTCCTTTTGCTGGACAGGGGAGAAGGTCCTCTCTGCTGGTGGAGGCTCCACAAATACTGGCTTAACCTGAACTTCAAGATTCGAGCTAGCCATAGAAAAAGGCTTGCAACTCCGGAGTGAACGCTCGGGCTTTCTCATCAATCTCTTCCTCTGAATACAGCCTCATGAGGTGTTCTCCCAAATTCCAGAAAACCACATCTGATGATTCAAACAAAGCACAACAACCTCTTCTCCAACACCCACCGCCGGGAACGGCACTATGATGCTGGGGATATATCGGAAGAGCACTAGATCAATGCTACATGTAAGAATGAAGTCTGTGCAAGTCGACACACATCGTCCTAACCAACTCCCTTCTCCGCAGCGCGGTTACAGAGGCAGTGAACATGAGGCACATGTAAGCAAACACAGCATGTGGAAGCCAACCATGACCCTCTCGGGGAGAGCCAGGGAGGTCTGTGTTCATTCCAAGAGCCCCTCTGAACCCTCACTCTGCACCCCAGCAGCCTGTCTCCAGGTTAAAGGGGGTGGTTGCTTTCACACGCACCCTTCACAAGTACCGGGAGGACCATCCCTGCTCGCCACATGTTTGCACATTTTGACTGTTGGTGCCCTTACTGCACCCCTGTGCAGACATATTTCCAAGTGGAAAGAATGTCAGATGCCACGCTGAAGCCGAGGGTAGCAAGGCATGACACACACAGCATTGTCCTTTCTTTGCAAGCTCTCAGGTGGCTTCGGTTTCCTCCAAGATACAGCTGGGGTTGGATTCGGGGTTGAGGTCTGAGTACTGGTTTTTACTTCACTCCTTTCTGTGGGGGAGGTGACACATATTCTGTTTCTATAGCAATTTCTTCTTTTTTTTTTTGAGACAGGGTCTCGCTATGCAGTTCAGGCTGGCCTCGAGGTCACTTTGTAGCCCAGGCTGGTCTCGAACTTACAACGATCCTCCTGCCTCAGAACTCCCAAGTGCTGGGATTACAGGCGTGCGTCACCACGCCCAGCATCTATACCAATTTCTTATACCATGTTCTGGCAACAGGCAGCCCGAAGGATCACACACACCCGTAAGAAATGGTGCATTTTCCACGAATAACCGAACCAGCATCCCAAGTCTACAGGCTGGGAGGGGGAGGAGGGTTTTTATTTATAATGTGCTCCATGCCCAACTTGTTTGGTCACTTTTGCCCAGATTAACCATCTTTCAGGGGAACCTGAGCCTCAGGTGGGGTGAATACCTTGATCAAGGATTAGGGTTTGTGCCATCCTCTGTGGCTCTGGTACCTGCCAATCTTACCTATCTAGACTGAGTCTCGAAAAGGCCATCCAACCCTTATGACCTGGTTGCCCTTTAATGCTAGCACAGAGAGTCCCTGACTTACACTGGTTCAACTTGCAAGCTTTCAGCTTTATAATGGTACAGTCTGAGCTCTGCTTCGGGGTCTTTTCCTGGGCCAGAACTACATGCTATGATTGTCTCTTGTGATGGATGTAGGAGTCCCTCCCTGGACACACAAGGAGCCTCATGATTGTGTGGGTCAATACCCAAAGTCTATGGTGCACTGCAAAGTGGACCAGGACACGGGTTAGGTGAGGTATATTTGGTGCATTTTCAACTTAGGATATTTTCAACTTTTGATGAATTGATCAGGAGGTAACCCTACTAAAACACTTTTACACACAAACTAAAACGTTAGGTAGGCTAGACTAAGCTGTGATGTTTGGCAGGTACTAAATGCAGTTTGACTTGGGGTATGTTCAATTTAGGCTGCTTTAGTGGGAGGTAACTTTGGTATGCAGAAGAACATGCTGTCGTTTGGATCCGAAACATCTCCCAAGGCCCACATGTGGATGCCTGGTGGCCAGCGCATGACAGTATTTACTGGGAAATGGCGGGGTTTTAAGAGGGGCGCCTCGTGAAAGGACTGTCACTCAGAGTGTGCCATGGATGGCAACTTGGGACTCTGCTCCTTCCTATTTCTCTGGTCACCACAAGGTGAGGGTTCCTCTGCCATGCCCTACTGTCATGATGTACAGCCTCATCACAGGTTCAGAAGCAATGGGACCAACTGGCCGTGGACAGAAATCTCTGACACTGTGAGCTTAAATCAACTTTTCCTCCTTTAAGTTGATTTGTCCCAGGCATTGTGTCACAGAAAGCTAACACAGAATTTTGTACATGCATCTCTCAACTTCCAATTAACAGGTTGGTGCAGATGTAATTAATGAAGCTAAGGTGATAATGGAGTATAAGGAGGCCCTAATTTAAGAGAACTATGTCCTTTTTTTTTTGGTACCAGGAATCTAACTCAGGACCTTGCATTTTTTCAGGCAGGTGCTGTGCCACTGACCTACCTCCCCGCCCAGAGCTATGTCTTTACACAGGGAAATGTGGACACGGAGACCAGGCAGCCCATCTACAAGCCAAGGATTGCCAATACTTGCCAGCAAACCACCAGAAGCAATGAGACATGCACGGAATGGATTCTCTCCGCTGCCCTCAGCAGAACTGACCTGCCAGTTCCTGGGACTTCTATTCCCCAGAAAGACAAGATGGCATTATGTCCGTCAACACCACCACATGTCCTTCCTTATGCTGCCCTAGGAACTAATCTACCCCTGCTTCATATCACTTGTGAAAACATCTATGCTTAGTAAATTCACAGGGTAACTGGGAGCAAATCCAGAAATGCAGCACAGGGGGACATGGCACCAGGAAGGGGCACACAGCGGGTGTCGATACCACAACAGAAATGGTTTATTCCTTGGTGGACGTGTTGACCTGTACCAAGATGTGTTTCCATTAATGCCACTTTGTAAGAAATATCTCCACGCTTTAACAGTTAGAACTATGATTTACTTTAGTAACCAAATGACTTGCTGGAAGAATCCCACAAGTCCCTGACAAAGCCTGGCCAGACCAAGCCTCTGGCTCTGCAGCACCCTTGTATACTCTTCCTGCCACCTGAAAATGCCAGTTGATAAATGCAGGTCCATTTTGTAGCAGAGATCGGGTATGTTTTGACCTCTGAATCACCCGCCATAAAGTAAGTAGCTATTTTGGTCATAACCGGAAGTGCTGGAATGAAGCACAAACATTCCTATGTTTTAGAACCCATTTGGGGGGTCAGGTGGGATAGTGAGCTTGAAGCTTCTACAGATGTGTAGTGCTTGGTCTACAAGGTTCAGACATGTACCCTCATCCATCATTGCCCTCACCCTGGCCGAAGCCAGGAGATTGAATTGCTTCTGCCCCTTCCCAAGTCTATCACAGGCGCTCTTGATGTTAATTTCAATATGATGTCATCGGAACAGAAATACCAAGGAAGGAAGACTGCACTCTGTCATCCTATTCCATGAAGGAGCTCGCCCAGAACCTCCTTTTCTCCCCACAATATCCTGCCCCAGCATGTGCTTTGTTCTTCTCGTTCCATAGCCCATAGCACACAGAAGATGAATTTCCTCCCCCCGCCCGAGCCTGATTCCTCGTACCTGATTCCTGGAGATACCGATACACCAGAAAGTTCACCTCGTCGCTGGTTATGCTCATCTTAGCCCCACCTCGCGGCGATGAGGTCTTCACGAAGTGGGAGCCACCCTCTGTTAGGAAGAAATCACAGAGAGAGTACTGAAATGCTGCCTGCATTCTTTTTGAGTTGACTGAAGAAAATAATGTCCATGTTCTTATACACATGACGGTAATTACTAAGTGATTCATGTTCAACTTTGCTGTAGCTTAGGGGTAAAGCTCTTGCCTAGCATGCATGTGGCCCTGGGCTTGATCCCCAGCACTGCAAAGACAAAAAGATCAATTTATATCTATATTCATCTACATACATCTATAAATCTATCTACATCTGTATCTACCCCAAGTGAAGTGTTTCTCCTAAAAACAAGAGTTGGCATAATTTATAAGGCAGGGACAGGTAAGGTTACAACTGTACTAAGAAAGCCAAATTCAGGAGCGGCAGCAAAAACAAACAAGTGACTGTTTATTCAGCAAAAATCTACACCATACTTGGGAGCTAGCATGAACAGACCCCAACACACGCAGCTGCATACATGCTCAGTGCTGCTTCAAGCAGGCAGAGAAGATGATTAAACAGGACAGTGGTGTCATTAACTGCCCTTCTAAAGTGGCCATGTGATCCTGGAAAAGGAGGGGTTGCAGTGTCTTTCACTCCCCAAACTATGGTGGGCTGTACGATGAACTCAATGGTCACTCTGTGCAGACCCAAGAAGCAAGACGGCCAAAAATGAGGAGCCAAGCAGTTAGACACATCACCTTGATGTCCTGTCTACAGGAGCCCAGGGCTTCCGGTGGCCAGCCAGAGCATGGGAACCAAGACAACATCTGTGTTTCTCCACAGAACACTGTGTTGGATCAGACAGGGCTTCCAGGGCTTGCATTTGAAGTTCCCTAGATCGTATCTGGTTTTCCTCACAACCCCCGGAGTTGGACTCCTGAGCACCTCAGTCCACAGAGAACAGGTCTTCTTTATGTGGTTAAGCCAGAATTCATCTGTCAGTGAGAGCTGCTGACGCCAATAACAGCAATGCTCCAGCAGGTCCACAGAGTGAAGAGGTTGGCGGCATGTCATCCATGTTTTGTATCTTCATGGACAGCGAACTTTGACATCGAATGGAAGGACAGGAAATGAGTCCTGCCCGATATAATCTCCTCCACTTGTGTGTGGGCAGGCCCTGGAACTCATTTCTATTGCAGAGACATGCCTAAGGTGAGTTTAGTCTATTGGGTGAGGTTGACAAGATGTCCCTCCCATGGCTATCACCACGATGGTAAATCCTGACTGTCAGTCTAACTGGACCAAGAAACTGGGCCTAGATTAGTAAAGTAGTTTTAGGTATGTCCCTGTCAGTGTTTCCTTGAATATGGGTGGCACCATCCTCTCTGCCATGAGGTGGGCAATTTTGCTCCCTCATAATGTTCTGCCTCATTGTGGGCCCAGAAACAAAGCCATGGACTGAAACTGCTGAAACCGTGAGCTGCAGTAAACCTTTCCTCCTGTAAGTGGTTTTTCTCAGATATTCTGTCACAGTGAAAAAGCCAACACAATCATGCTGACTATACAAGACTGTGTCTTAGCAGGTGGAAGGACGGTCTTTCTAGCCAACCTTTACAATGCAAGCAGTCACCATGTGCCTGTACGGGGCACCTCACTCCTACAACCACAAGGAGCCAGCTTCTGCCAGCAGGTGGAACTTGAGAAAGTCTCTGAGCTCTACACACACATGTGAGTGGGTTGAATAAAACTTTGACTGCAGGACCCAGGCTCTTGACCATGGAAACACTGAGATAATAATTATGTGTTGTTCCCACTTGCTAAGTTTGTGCTAATTTGTTACATAGCTGCTGAAAACAAACATGCTCCATGTTAGCTTATTCTACAGTTCATTTCGTAGTCTTAACAGGAATTTTAGCTTACAGTTACCAGAGCTCTGCCTCTCAAAAATGCTTCTCTTCTAGCAAGTGCTGCTGAAGATGTGGAGACAAAGGAACCTTCTTACACTATTGGTAGGGATGCAGCTGGTGTAGCCACTACAGAAAACAGTATGGGAGACCCTCAGAAAACAAACATTGGAACCACCATGTGTCCCTGCACTCCCACTCCTGGAAATGAAATGAGTGTACATCTTAAAGTGATTCCTGCACCCTCAAGTTCACAGCAGCATTGTGGACAGGAGACAAGACACAGATGCAACCGGAAGGTCCATCAGCTGATGAATGGATAAAGACAACATGAAACATGTATACCATGGAATACTGCTCAGCCACAAGAGCAGAAAATCCTATAAGGTGATAGCATAGGTGGGACTGGAGATCATTATGTGTAGTGAAGAGCCAGGCACAGCAAGACAAGCACTGTGGCCTCACTCATACATGGATACCTAAGGAAATGACCTCACAGAAGTCAGTGGAATGGAGGCTCCCAGGTGCTGGGGAGAGTAATGGTGAAGAGGTGGGAGAGGGTGGTCGATGGGTACCGAGTCACAGTGCAGTAGGAAAAGGAAGGCAGCTCTGGGTGCTATTGTGTAGCTGGGTGTTTGCAAATAACAATCTTGCACTATACATTTGAAAAGCTAGAAGACTTTGCAAGCTTTCACTGTAAAAAAAGATGTTTGAGGAGATACTTATGTTTAACCTGATATGAACATTATGCAATGAATACATGCATTTAAACATTACAAAATACCCCATTGCTATGTACAATTTTTATGTTTGTACCAGCTAAAAAATATAAAGCCAAGTGTGGTAGTAGACACCTGTAATCCCACTGACATGGGAAGCTGAGGCAGGAGGATTGCAAGTTTGAAGTCAGCCTGGGTAACTTAGGCAGACCCTGTCTCAGAAAAAACAAAAAAACAAAAAAACAACAACAAAAAAACAAACCTAGAGATGTAGCTCAGTGGTAGAGCACCCCAGGAGTTCAATCCCCAGTAACAGTAAAGTAAATACTGTACATAAAGTTAATTTTTAAATCCTAGCAAAAGCCTATCTTCTTCAGTTTAATGTGGTGACATTTTTGTACTTGTGCACACACCACAAGTACAGAAAATTTGACAGTCAATATATACATCTGCTCTGAGATTTCTGTTTGATGCCTGGGAAGTTCAGAAGGCCATTTAGCCATGTATCAAGCCTCTCTCAAAATAGAACTGAAAAAAGCTAAGGGGACGTAGCTCAGTACAAAGGCCCTGGGTTTGTGTAACGCCCATTACAAAAGCCCAAACACCCACAATGACAACACGTAAAAAACAACTGGGTGACTTTCTCCTGTCAGTTGATCTCTGTGCTTCCTTCCAGCCCTAACATCCTGTTACAGCTTTTGTTTTGATGTCCCTCAAAGCCTCATGTGGTCATAGGTGGGGGCCTTTTCAGAGGTGGCTGGATCTACAGTATATGATGCTGGAGTTAAGGGTGTGTGGTTACCAAATCAGTTCACTCTTTTGTTTGGCACCCACCTGAAGCCTGATAGCTTAGATCTATCTATAAAAGAGGCAGAAAGAAGCTGCTAAGGTTGTCTGCACTTGCTGCTTGCTCTCTTCTGTCCGCCCTACTTTGCAATGGATTGTTTCTCCTCTGTGATGCCCCTCTGCCACGCTGTACCTTGGAACCAGCTGACTATGGACTGAAACCTTGCCAAGCTGTGAGCCAAATAAACCTTTTCTCCTTTAACTCTGGGTGTTGGGTTATTTTGTCTGAGCAAGAAAAGTAACTAAAACAGAATTTGGTACCAAGAGTGGGGTCATTGCTGTAACTATACCTGACCATGGGGTTCAGGAGCCTTTGGAACCATCCTGTGGGAAGAGTTGGTGAAGGTTCAGAGATGCCAGCTAGCAAAGCAGCCCTGGAATTCCTGAGGCTGTACTTTATGGGAGAGTCTGGTCAGAGCTCAGAAGACTAAAGTGCTGCTAGAAATGCTGCCAGTAAAGACCAGGCTCAGGAAGTTTCTGCTGGGAAAGGACTGCATTGGCTGTTAGACTCCAGAACATGTGTGTTATGCATTGGCAGAAAGTTTGTCTGCATTTTGCTCATGTTCAGAGACTTTGCCTGAGACAGATTAAGAGTGGTGGGCTAATTAATTTTGCAGAAGAAATTTCAAGAACAGAATAGTGTTGGGGCAGTGGCAAGGTTACTGCTGGGGGGGTTTTAGCTAGGTTTATGTTGAGAAACGAGAGCAAAAGCCCAGCAGAATGATTTAAAATATTTTGAGTTTGACTAGAAAGGAACCATCAGTAAAACTGTGGACTGCAAAGACAAAGCAGAGATCTTGATTGCTGAGAAGACGCAGTAGAAAAGATGGCCTGAGGACATCATAAGAACCAGTAGGACTCTACCCTATGCAGCCTGAAAATTGCAAATGTGAAAGACTTTGCTTTGAGGGGCCCAGCGAACCATGTTCCAGAATGGCGGTAGCCTAGGGAAGTTCTCAGGATTTGGTTCATAGGCACTGAACCCCTATAGCCAAGAAAGGAGGAAACCTGGCTACTGCTTCAGCTGGTGGCAGACCTTGGCATCATCGTCATGATGCTGGTTTTAGATGCATGCAGGATGCAAGAGTTGTGGGGTTAGAAAGCTTTCCACCCAGGTTTCAGAAGAAGGCCTGGGAGGCCAGGCAGTGTGCCCCTGAGATGCAGTGTGTGAAGCTGTGTGAAGTCAAAGGTGCAGTGGAGACCCTAGAAGTTTGGAGAACCCAAAAATGTGGATCATCTAAGGAAAACTACAAGGAGACAGCAGAGGTGGCCCAAGAGAGAAGCCATGGGAGCTACAACCCCCAGAAATGCTGTAGGGTGCAGACATCCAATTCCTTTGGGGTTCACATCTTGCCACAGACTGCTGGATATTATCATTTGTATCTAGATGTCCCCCCAAAGCCTCATGTGGTCATAAAGTTTTTTTGGAGGTGGCTGAATCTAGAGTGTGTGACTGATTCATAGTATAATGTCGGGATTAAGGGTGCTAGGAATAAGGGTGGGTGACTGCTGAATCAGTCCACTGATTGGATTGGCACTGCCCTAATACCAGTGCACTGGATACACTATAAGGGACAGAAAGAGGCTTGTCTCTCACTCTTTTG